CCATCCTTACAATGTATTTGTTAAAGAAACCAGGTTTTTAATCTGTAGTTTTCAAGTTTATATTTTGCTAACTGTATACCTGTGGTACGATGAACTTATTAGAGTTCTTTGCAGTTCTCTGACTTTATAGTTGTATCTAGAAGCTTAATTGGATTCAGGTTTATAGATGGTAGTGTGTTCTTCTGTCTGGAAACATACAATGTCTAGTCAACTCTTTTTTTATGAAGTTAACTGCTATACGTATTCAGGATCTAGATCTATTAATTCATTAAGGGTTGCAAAATGGTGATATTCTAATTCATACTTACATTTTTATTTATAAACTAGATTACTTCTATGAAGTTCAGTTCCTCCTTATCTACTGTTACCCAGTGGTATAAAGCATGTAGGAAAATAAATACTTAATTCTTTCTATTTATTTAATGATTTTCAAAATAATGAGTTGGCTGACTAGCATCTTCCAATGATGATAAGTCAGTTTCAGTCCATTACAATTATTATCCTTATCAGTATTCAAATTGTCCCATCTTTGGACAATGAAAGCCTCTTAAGTTGACTCCTGAGTCTCTTTGACAAGACTTTAACGGCCTTGCTATTATACCAGCTGTTTCAGGCTCATCTTGTAAAATATTCTGCCCTAGACCTGGATCAGCCATTTGTCCTAGGACCCCTGGTTCCTAACACCTTTATTCTGGGAGATAACTAATCCATTGTCTTCTTGATAGACCTCATATAAATCAAGAGAAATGCAAGATTTGTAGTCAGTATATCTTTAATGAAAAGTATGAAGCCACTAGACAAGAGATTGGATTCACTTTTGAAGTTGTCGTAAGTATTTCTTGGAAAAGATTACATCTGCCAACACTTAGTTGTCCATTTGGCAGTTGCCTCTGCTGGGAAGTACAGGTTCCAATATAATTATTGGCTTTTCTGTAATCCAAGTAGCTTGGTGGATGTTTAGGAGTAGATGATAAAACTTTTCTCAGTGCGGAGAAGAACCTCAGACTCCCAAGAGCGCAGACAACCAACTATAAAGTTGCAAAGTCTTTTGACATAGAATGATTAAATAATGAGATGAAAGCTAAAGGAATTTGTGCAGAAGGCTTTGAAGTCTCTTATTACTTCTCCTTATCACCTGGCTATGAATTCTGTTAGGTGTGGGCCTCTTTTCCCATATTTATAGAATCAGGAACATACTCATGCAATTAATTTAAAAATCTAAATTAAAATCATATAGTGGCACATTTGGCTGAAACTATAAATCAGATTATCTCTCAAAAATTTTGTTTTTCTAAAGACTATCTTGGTAAATATCAATCATTGCAGAAGATACAGATACCCAAACTTGCTTTTATATATAATCTACTTAGTTTTTTCATTAGTATTACTGTTGGCTTTATAAAAAAAAACTGTGAATATAAAAAATATAATTTCGTGATAGTAAAACAAAAATAATCTGTGAGGACAGAAACTTTCATTCGTTTACTTGTTCTAAAATATTAGAATAGTGTCTGACACAAAGGAAATATAGGAGTCAATAAATACCAGTTGAGTGGATGACCTATAACAGCTTTTGTGCTTTGTCCCTTTCCCCTCAAAATCAGTGACCTTAATATGATTCATTCATTTGTTTAGCAAACTTTGTTAATGGTGAAGAAGTGTGGAGTGGTAGGGGATGATAGATACCATGCTGTATACTAGAACATAAAGATGAAAAAGACAAACTAGCTTCCTGTTCTCAAGAAGCTATCATCAGTCTAAGGGAAGAGACTCCAAGATAAAAAGAAATACTGCATTCTGTCTACTTGCAGATGGGCATCGTAGCCTAATGGTTGAGAGCATAGGTCAGACCTGCCGTTACCACCTTGGACAAGTTGCTTAGTCTCTTTGTGCCTTAATTCCCTTATTTTTGTTGTGTTTTGAGAACATGAAGGAACCAATTCCTTCTGGGCAGTTTAGAGAAAATTTTCTAAAGAAACATTTGAGCTAAGTTTTATATTATTAAAGAAACTAAAATGTTACAGTGGTGTACTTAATTTCTTTCTTTGCTAGTTTGTAAGCTCCAGGAGAAGGGCTGAGATCTGTTCAATTCAGTTGAACAGATCTCAAAGTTGCTATTTTCCCCAGCTCCCTTATAGTTTCTGATGTTTGTTAAATATATGTGTGAATCAGACAAGAAATAAGGGAAAAGCATTCCATGCATAGAGAATAGCATTTACAAATAAATACATAGTGTTACAAAAGGGCTAGTCAAGAGTGTATAAAAAGGAAGAGTAGAAGATAAAGCTGGAATGGTAACTTGGGGACAGATTATGAACTGTCAGTAAATAAAATTAGTACTGCAATATAATTTTTAGAAAACTTCTGTGGTGATGCCTGTTTTGGTAAAAACCATGGTTTGGGGGCTGATTTGGATCCAAATGAGTGTTGAGAAATTAATGTTATAAAAAAGAAAAAAACCCTGCTATATTGAATTCTATTTTAGTGAAAAGTTTTTAAGGAGCCAACATTATCAGCTTTGTTTTTAGGAAGAGCACTATGCAGCAGAATTTTCTAACCTGGATGCTAATGACATTTTAGGCATGATCATTCTTTGTTGCAGGGGGCTGTCCTGTGCATTGTAGGATGTTTGGCTGTATCCCTAGCCTCTACCCACAGAATGCCAGTAACATTTCCTCTCCTCCACCCTACTTGTGACACACAAAAATGCCTCCAGACATTGCCAAATAACCCCTGGGGGCAAAATCACCCCTGGTATTGTGGGAACCATTGCTGTGAACTATGTAAAATATGGATAAGACACTTAAGGCAGAAAAACTAGTGAATAGGAGGAGACTAGTACTCTAATCCACATGAGGTGAGGTGATCTGAATTAGTACAGTTTACAGATGGAATTGGAGTAGGGAGCAGATTTAAGAGATACTTCTGAAAATCAACAAGATTTAGTGACCAAGTACATCTGGAAGGGAGAGGGGAGCTGAGGTGAATCTTGGGCTTTTTACTTAGTTGGCTGTGTGTAAAGCAGTACCATTAACCTATAGTAATACAGAGAGATTATTTCTCAGGGTATGGCCCAAGGATTTAGATTATAGATCTGTGGGTCTGGAAGAAGAAGGAAATCTATCTACTATTACAGATTCCTAGACTGATAGAATATTAGAACTGTAGAGAACCTTTGATCTATATTTTTATGATGAACTAGACTCAGAGAGATGAAATACAGGCTAAAGGCTAATGGGACAACCTAGTCTAGTACATGGGTAGTCTAATTCTCAGTTCCTATCTTTGTACTGATACTAGTCTTATTTTCGTAGAGTGACATTCCCTTTGTAGACTTCCTACCTTTTCTGGATTTCTTAAGCTATGTATCCTGAGTCGTCATAGAAAGTTCACTTTTGCCCATCTAGTCCCAGAAATTGTCTTAAGGAACTAGAGAAATGTTTGATTTGCACTGAGATGTTATTACCAGTATCTAGGATATCATGTTTATATGTATGTAAATGGTTCTCCAGATGGCACAATTAAAATAAAGTCATCCTTCAGTATATGGGGGCAGGGCTGATTGGTTCCAAGACCTCCCCTACATCCGGTGTATACCCAAATCCATGCATATTCAAATCCCGCAGTTGGCCCTGCAGAACCTGTGTATGCAAAAAGTTGGCATCCTTTGAATACTATGTTTTCAATCTGTGTTTGGTTTAAAAAAATCCACGTATAATGACCTGTGCAATTCACACCCATGTTGTTCAAGGATCAATTATACTACCATTCCCCCAACCCCAGTATGTTAGGGCAGAACTGTAATTGAGGGAGTTATGTTTTCACTGACCAATGTGGGTCTTAACCTATAACACACATGTAATTATTATTACTTCTTCATAATACTTATATTAATTTTTAAAAGATGATTTGGTAACAAACTGGCATACGTCATAATTTGTATAGACTATAAAGAACTAAAGTATTAAATATTCAACTTCTGGCTACAGTGCTGAAAACTCTGTGTAACTAATTGGATGTCTTATTTAGATACCTCTCCCATTCCTAATGGAAGTGATAAACACTTAGGAATCCCTCTTTCTATACTGTCGTTAGCTTTCTCTTTCTTTGATTTCACTTTCTTTATTGTCAACAGGAACTCATTTGAGTATTTTTCATTTTGAAGGTAAGGAACAATCACCTTTGGAGATGAGTATGCATCCAGTGGCAGCAACTCCCCTCTCAGTGTTTACTAAGGAATCTACGTCCTCCAAACACAGTGACCACCATCACCATCATCACCATGAACACAAGAAAAAGAAGAAGAAGCACAAACATAAGCATAAACACAAACATAAGCATGACAGTAAAGAAAAGGACAAGGAGCCTTTCACTTTCTCCAGCCCTGCCAGTGGCAGGTCTATTCGTTCTCCTTCTCTTTCAGACTGAGAAGGAGACAAAGAGAACTTTCCCTCTGTGTCCAGAAGAATGTATGTGACTAAAGCTTTGTCCTCTGTGAAGAGTGATAAAAGTGGGGGAGGGGAGGATTTGCTTCTCTTATAGAAATTCAGAATCCATTTAAGTTCTAAACATTTGATTTACATTATTTATACAAATGAGATTTAATTAGGAAAATGTGTTTTAGAGTTCTGGGTAAGCTATTTCATCCCATTTCCTTCCTAAAACACACACACATACACGCACACGCACACAGAGCAAACTTCTTTTCTTAAAAGCCCCCATATCCACTGGCACTCCCCATTCACATCATGGTCTCCATGTGCTCTGCCAAAGTCAATTATGTTTGAAAGCCTTTGATGGATGTTATGGGGCAAAGTTATGTTTTAAACAGAAGCAACTGCCAAATCTGTGGTACAACCACTATTTCCAGTAAAATATTGTGTAACACCGCTTGGAACTACTGAAAAGACAGAGGCTTTTCTATAGGACTCTTCTTTATTGCACCATTTTTTATGTTAACTATAGAAACTAAGCATCAGAATTTATGAACAAAGAATATATTTCCTTTCGCTCTAAAATGCTGAAATTTTTGGAAGCAGTTCTTTTTTTAAAAAAAAATTTGAGTAACAAAAGATAGCACATTCAGTGATTATGATGTTGGAATTTAGCAGTACCATGTCTCAAATTTGACATATACACTATGCCACAGTCTCAAATCAAGATGTTTAAATTGTAAGTTGTTTTGTTTTCCAATAAGTGAATATGTGAATATGTAAAATGTGTTTTGCTAAATGTGGACAATTTGCACACCTGATACATATTCTTTCTAAAACTATTTCTGTATAACACAAAATATGATACCTTTAAAAAGGTGAGTTTATATATTGCTTATTAACTTGGACATAGACATTTCGGCTCTCTTGTGAGTATACCAGAAACATTTAAAAACACATGAAAATTTTTGGTTTCGTAGTTTAGCAGTTTATATGGTTGGTTGTTTTTATTTCTGAATTTACTAC